GGATGATCTTGTGAGTTTGTTTTTGTATTCAAAAAAAAAATAGATAGCATAAATAACAGTACTGATCCCTGTTAACATTAAGAAAACCTGTACTCGCACTACGATAATTTTTTTAAGATATACATGAGGAACCTTAATAACAATAACAATATCAATGATATAAATTTCGGAAATGTATCAATATAAATGTAATATTTCCTTTTGATATATATATATATATATATATATATATATATATATATATATATATATATATATATATATATATATATATATATATATATATATATATATATATATATATATTAGAAAATGAACTATAATAACTTGAAATTCTTGGTGACATTTTTCGATTACTTTGAGTTACAAAAGTTAACAATAGGTAACTAGGTATTTTTCTTTGGGTGTAACCCGGGTTGTGATGGTCACCTTGCTAATTCTGGGATAGGATATCCTTCTTCACCCATCCTATTGCCGAGATTTGACCATTTCTGACAGTTGGACTATTATTGTTATAAAAAATAGCTTGCATGGCAAGAAATTTAAGACTCGGAGCAATCTTTTAGCTTCTGTGAACAGACCGTTAAGGAACATATCACGTGACCGCCTGGATCACGAGATTTGCGCATGGGCAGAACAATGGCAGGTGTGCATTAAAATCGGAGAGGACTTCTTAAAAAAAATAATGAACGCTTAAAACCCTCATTTTATTTCTTTGAAGGAAGTAATTCAATTAGTTCGCGAACTTTTTGATCACCTCTCGTAGAGCCTTAATAAAAAAAAAAAAAAACCCATTCATCTATTGAATGAAAAAAAATTGAATGATATTGCAAAAATAAAATATGCATTCTCTTTCTTGATAAAATTATTATTTCTGATTGGCATGAGCATGCTTTTATGTACATAGCCCATTGTATAAAGCCCATATCAATTTCGTTATAAAAGCATTATCATGAAATATTATATATAAGATAGGATTGCAGATTGTGAAAGTATTGTAAAAGCTCTCTGACTGTTATTGGGTGATTATTAACCTCGCTGTAATTATGTAAACAAATACATTCAAAGTGCTTTAACAGATGGAATATATCCAAGGATACAAGTTAATGATTTTCTCTCTATATATACGACAAACAATATTATTGAAGGTTTTGATATGAGGAGAGATCTTTGCCTTAATAAAAAGTAGGAAAATCTTTTCTTTTGACCATAAAACAATCAGAATAGTACGCTATATATAAGACAGTAGCTTATTTTCTCTGACAAGAAATGTTCAATGCCTTTTGCAATTTATCTGACAGTTTAAATTATTATTGAAAGAAATTCTTTAAATAATAATTTAAAAAAATTGAATTCATTCCCAGAGTCAAACAAAGAGAACAAAGAGAATCTATAAACAACGGATGGGTTTTTCTTATGCAACCTCAGGAAAGAGACCTTGAAGTCATCGGTAAGTTATCCTTACTTCTGTCAATTTTAGCTGCTGGTTAAGTTGCTGTCCTCAAATGAGAACTTATTTGTTAATATCAATCTGAATAAGCATATTATTTTTCTGTTGAAATATGTTGTTTGGAATTCATTTTTGATAGAAACTAGACGTACGGCTACTCTCATAAATTTGCCAGATTCAAAGCAAAGGAAGAATAGAAACGGATAGAAACAAAAATATTATCCAGAAAAATAAAATATAAAAATAATAGAAAATCTTAGTTAAGACGGCATTTAAACAGATATGTAATGCGGGGGCTTAAAAGCAAATTTTGAATGTATTTGTATGTTAAAATTTTACCCCCTTTGCTGATTTATTTCCATTAATCAAATCTGTCAATGGTGACAATCAGTTGTTTACCAATCCCAGTCGGCTTTTCCTCTGTCATTCTCCACAGAAAATGCAAACGAACAACACTACACTGGATAGTTTAAAATATAATGTTTATCCAGATTGAAAACTTGTCTTCTAAAATATTTTTTTTAAAAGTGCTGCTAGAATCGTTGGGTAAAAGTTGCTTGGAAAAAAATCTTTTGAAATATTAATATTATATGTATAAATTGAAAAAAAATGTGTGAGGGTACAAGTGCGAATGTGTGGAATTTTTTTTTTTTCAGATCGGGTAGTAGCATTCTAGTGCCACCTTTTTATGCACTAGAGATGTTTCTCAAAATATTTAATCATATACTGATTATGACCTATTTTTACGTAATAATACCGCCCCTGTATTCAACGGGTATGATCTTCCTGTACTAACAGATCGTGTATGACGTCACCAACTAGTTGGACGCGCAATTTAAGGTAAGGGGTGGATCAATTTATTTCATGATTTGTTAACATTTACAAGAATGTTTAAACTTTTTATTTTTTATATAAGAATTAAAGATGTAAATAAAAGTAAAACAAATTGTCAAAAATGTATACAAGAACTGATGGTTTACACGTTTTGCACTTATATAAACGGAGACTATGATGTAGTCAAACAGAGTCATGTGACCATGTATGATGTATCCTTCTTCCCCTTAAGGATATCCGATCCTCAGCCAGGAAGGATAACTCTTTAATTTATTATTTAATTCAAAAGTCTCAAAATGAAGCTTAAATATGAAATTTTTTCATGCAACATTTTTCATTTTATGCATCTCAATGTGATTCAAGGTTCTTTGAAGTATTAGAAACAGTCTTTTAAAACGTTGATTTTTTACCCTATAAAGATATGTTAAAAATACAGATTTAAAGAAATCGACTTTTCCTCATATTTAATCTTAGATACAAATGCTAGTCGCCCGCGTGGCGCAGTGGTTAGAGCGTCTGCTTTAGAGTCGCGGTGTAAGGAGTTGATCCTTACGTCGCGGGTTCGAATCCCACTGTGGGACGTGCAGACCGGTGCTTCGGATGAGACCGTATAAACCGAGGTCCCGGGTCGCAGTAGGTGCTGGCACGAAAAAGATCCCTCACTGCTCAATGGCCGTAAGTGCCGAGTATAGGACAAAATTTGCAGCTCTCCACGGCAAGTGGTGGAGTCTCCATATGAGTGAAAAATTCTCGAGAAAGACGTTAAACAACATACAAACAAACCAAAAAAAAAAACAAACAAACAAACAAACAAAAAAAAAAAACAAAAAAAAAAAAAACAAATGCTAATATATGATATGAAATTAGAAATGATTTGTGGTGTTTTGCAATGATAGGAAACACTTTATAAAATAGTCATTATATAATTATTGAAGTACACAGAAGAAACTGAAGAACTGTATAGGTATAAAAATCATGCAATTTCCTTCAAATGCCTGGATACTTATAGTTTTTTATCCTAAAATGTTTTTGTTGATCAATTTCCAGTTAAAAATGCATAGTAGGTGTCTTTATTCGCATTTCCTGAAATTTTATTTGAATTTTACGAATTTTCCTATATAATATGATTAACTTTAATGATGAAGTTTGAACAATTACTGTGGGTAAATTCACGTTACTTTGAGAATTCAGAGACATTTTTGTGAGCATTTTCAATTAGTCAATGCCTGATTTTCAGAACCTGAGGATCCGACTACCTTAATTAATATGTAAATGTAACCAAACAAATTATCTTTGTCCCAACCCAGAAAACACAGACCCCCTTTAAAATTGTAAGGAGCTAGAGCCATACGTGCATGTATCTGAAGGAAATTTTCTAAGGAAAATGTCAGGTTTTGACAAGTTTTTTTTTTTTGTTTTTTTTTTTTTTTGTCAGAAATTTCCGGGTCTGAGATTTGTTACAATTGACCCCCCCCCCCCCCCAAAAAAAAAATTATACTGGATAAGCAAATAATTGCCGTCGACCTTAGCCCTTTCCTAAATTGATAATAAAAATAAATTTTAATGTTAAATGTTGAGATCATTTGTAGTTTTACTGGTTAAGTTCAAGAAGCCAGTAATATGAAAATACAAAATGTACGCGTGGATTTTGTAAAAAAAAAAAAAATTGAAAAAATTTATTCGGTTTCTGAAATTAATTTGAAATTGAAAACGGCCATGTCTACAAAAATGTAGTTATTCTGCCATTATGTTTTTATTTTTTAAGGTCATACATGCACTATTTACTTCCACCGACCCCCTTTCAAAAATAACAAAATAAATAAATAAATAAAAAAAAAAAAACAAATAAATAAACAACAAAAATAGCCTTTTCCTTCTGTTTCCCTATAATAACCAACTTCCTCGCAGTATTGTAACACAGATAAAAGGTAATTAAGTTGACAAAACTAAGTTATTATCTTAACCGACTTTGAACTGCATTGCATGTACATAATTATTTTTTGATTTTTTTGAATAATTTATTCTGCTCATACAATATGTTTGATTTTTTTCTCATTTTTTTTATCACTTACATGTTACAATATTTAATGAAATAATTATGTAACTAAACTGGACCAAAAACATCCTGAAAATCACTACATGTACATATTTTTCAAGTCCCTTTTGACACATGATAATCTCACTGTTGCATCTAGATCTCTATCCAATATCTATCTTTTATGAATTTAACTGAATCCCCCTCCCTCTTTAAAAGTAAAATCAATAACAAAATACCCCCCCCCCCGCCAAAAAAAAAACAAAACAAAAAAACAAACAAACAAACAAACAAAAAAGTATATTCATCGCAAATTTGTCACACCCCATAAACCCTATATCACTTACCACAGAATGTGATTTCTAATCCTAAGTTAATACAGGTTAATACACGTAATATGTAAGTGTAGGAAAACCTAGAAGCTCGTTGTGATCAACAATTACAGTCCATTTTGAGTTTTTATTCAAAAAACACAAGGCGGTACAAGTACTCTAATGCTAGCCAGCAGAATTCTTCATTTTCGTTACCGTTTATACATCCGCAAACAGAAAAAAAAAGACATAATAGTAAAGAAAAGAAATCGAAAAATAATGCACATTTAATTTACACAATGTCAATCAAAAAAGAATGATAATATTCGAGAGATGCATGTTTTGGTTAAAACAGTTGGATCTCTGACACATCATTTACTTTTAAATTCATACACTTTCACGCAGTTGCCATTGGTGACTACAAAAAAAGTCAGACTTCCTTCCTTAAACTTGATACAAAACGGTTTGGGAATGTCGGGTATAATTCTGAGTAGCCTCCCTTTGGGGGACAGAATGTGGACGTTGTTTGATTGTTCCCCAGCCACATATATATTATCCAGGAAATCCACAGACACACAGACGGGACCGATCAGCTTAGGATGTTTATACACCCACAATGTGTTTCCATCATCTCTCATGGCTGATACGGAATTGCCACCATAATGACAGTGGATTATGTTCCCGATATCCGTCACCGTTACTGAATAAGTCCACTTCCGGGTCGGGTAAGTTTTAAGGATGTTTCCTTGTTTATCCAGTTTGATAATTGACGTTGGTCGCGTTACGTATATATTTTCTTGGAATTTCGCTATTCCCAAGCATGCCTCGCCAGTTGGAATGGTTGAGCCCAAACTAAATTTTCCGACGGACACTTTTTGTAGTGCGTTTAAGCCTTCCAATGCTATCAAGATATCAGATCCTTGAACGATTATGTCCCTAGGTTTGGGACCTACTAATTTCCCTTGAAGTATATTTTTTCCGATGCAGTCCAAATAAATAAAGCGGAAATTAGGGTAGTCCGCTAGTAGTATTCCTCCGCTTGGTAGAAAACTTCCTCCATATATCCAGCCATTTTCCACAGTAAACTCAGCCTCTAAAGTCATCTTTGCTGTTGTGACATCAAAACCAAATTCCATAGAGCACGATTTCTGAAATACAGATAGCTCTGAGAGTTTGGAAATAGTTTTCATTTCCTTCACTTTGGGTGAAATCTTTTCCTGTATATCAAACGATATTTTGTTTATATTTGTCTTTTTGATTTCGTCAATTTTACGCTTCACTTCATAATACTTAGTGACGAAAGCCAAATCGGATCCGTTTTCCTTCACGCGAGAGATAACTTGTTTACAATGTTCCATGTAGAGTTTCTTTTCCATTATGGAGTCCAAAGAAGAATTCAGCTTATCTTTTCTCTCTTTGGTGATCTTTGAAAGCTCTCCTGCGTGGCTGTTTTTTAGCAACTCCATATGTTCTACGATTTCTTGCTGTATTTGTTCAATAGTCCTGAGGATTTCGTTAGATTGTAGGTCAATCTGAGAGATGTTACTTTCCTCTTCTTTTGCAATATTCTCAAGCTTCAGGGACAGTTTATCAATTTCTGTCATCAATTTTTCGATGGCATTGTCCTCTTGTAGAGCAGTAAGACATTTGTCAATTGATTCCACTTTTTGGCATTTTCTATGTTCGAAACTGACGCAAGTGGTGCAGCACGCCTCCTGGTGATCAAAGCAGAACATCATTATCTCCCCTTTATGCTTTACGCAGACATTTTCTGCTATCATGGCAGATCCTGAAGACTTTACTTCATTTAGAGGGGCCAGCCTGTGTTCTTGAGTCATCATGTTTTTTCTGTGATACTTTGTACACATATCGCACAAAAACTCCATACAAGTCTTACACCAAAATGAAGCGGGTTGATCTTCTTGGGCCCTGTTACATGCCTCGCACATGTTATGATCCTCCACAACATTTTCATTTTTCAGATATTTTATCAAAGACTCATTAAGTGGTAATTGTTTTGCCCATTTCTCTGGTGAGCTAAATGTACCGGGGGCAGCAACAAATTCTCTGCACAACGGGCACCTGAATCCAACCGGGGAGTCCTTTGATATGCAGGCAGAAATGATATAAGACTCCAAGCAGGAGTGACAAAAGGAATGTAGGCATGGTAAATAACGCGGGTTTTTGAACCGTTCAAAGCAAACTGAACACGTGGATATATCACCTTTATGCTGTGGACTGTCGGATGTAGCCATAGTTTGGAAATTTCCTTGATCAGTAATGGTCTTCAGCTAGTACACCCGAACTCACGCTTCGCACACTGAAACACCTGAATATGTACTCATGTTTTTAGTTAACTGAATCTCAAACCCGGTCTTAAATATTTACAATAAAGGAATTGGTATTACATATCACATTAGTAACTGAATTAAAGGGCAGATGATAGAAACAAATTTTTATCAAAATTCTGGAGAATAACAACTTGATTCATATTTATATTAGTAAAATGAATAAATTTGACCGCATAGTTTTTTGTTTTTTTTTTAAATTTTCCATTAAAAGTTTCACAATAATTGGATTTATAGTGACATAAAGTTGTGTAGATTACAATCTAATTAAAATTAGATGTTCCAAATCCGCTACCGCTTCTCAAACATCTAATAACATCCCATTCGGGGTCACGTCAGAGCGACCTTTCGATTACCCAATGAAATCGCCGTCTCTGAAATCTTGGCTTATAGTTCGGATGCGTTTCTTTTTTTACTGCCAAAGCTAAACGCCCGAGGGGTTTCGTAGTAAACAAAGTATGCATGGTAAAGACTGTGCTATATATGAATGTGACATGCGGGATATATAGACGTATACATGTAATTTGTGCATTTTAGGTAAGAATGTCAGATTGGCGGACTACGTTCAATTTATACCAATATTATTTTAATTCAACGTAAGAAAATCTACTGGGCATCAATAATGTAAAGATGTAGCCGTGGAACTAATTTTAGAATCGTATACAGAAGGTTGAATCTGATTGGCCAATTTTTTTTTGTTTATTCAGAATCGAAAGGTCGCTCTGACGTGACCCCTAATGGGATGTTGTTAGATGTTTGAGAAGCGGTAGCGGATTCGGAACATCTAATTTTAATTAGATTGTATAGATTAACAATGATGGAAGAAAGCATATACATACATGTATGTAATGTCTTAATATTTTAGAAATTTATTATTTGCATTATTTACAAAAAAAAAAAAAAGAAAGAAAAAAGAAAACAAAAAGAAAAAAGAAAAGAAAGAAAAAAAAAAAACAGGTCCAAAAGTAAAATATTAAACCAATGCAGGCATCATTATTTTGTTTGTTTGTTTATATCATCTATCCTTTAAATCAATATATTCAAAAAATAATAATTTAACAGAAATCCGCTGTCTAATACTTCGCACTTAAACACATAAGAGCAGAAGTCTTCCGTCTCTGAAACTAGAATTAAGTACGAATTAAGTAAGAATTTGCAAAAAGATATACACGCTACATAAACGCGATTTTTTATGTGAAACAAAATGATTAAATGATTTGAGAAACATGATGTGTAAAAAAAATAATTACTTTCCACAAAGTTTTACTAAATAAGTCGTTGTAATTACAAAACAATTAAGCAAGATCTGCAATATATTAAGAATTCAGTCTATTCATGAATATTGATGAAGGAAGTGCGTAAACAGTATATAGACACGCATGTCCGCGGGAAATCAGAGACAACGAGGTACGTTGCATTTTGACTACGATTTTGAATAAAAGTTAATATCTGTCATTACAGAGTAGATGGTTAATACTGGTTGTTTTTAAAGATAAGTATCTTTAAGCATAAAACGTATGCCATACATGTCAAAAGTTATTTTGTATACCAAACGGCCTACCTCGTTTTCTTGACGCTATTTTTGTTTATCAATCTAAAAGTAGCGACGGTGTCACATGATGCATGAATTTAAATAGAGACATTAATTTCCTAGTACGATAATAGATAATTATAATTTGAGATACTTATGATGCGTTCATTTCCAATTGTGTAATTTACAATATTTTCGAAATTTTATTTGGTAAACAAAATAAATAAATTTCCAACTTTATTTTTAACTGACGCAAGTTATAGCGTGTATATCTTTAAAATAAATGTTTTGTGTATAGAAATGGATTATATTACCAAAATGACATAAAAATGATTTATATTTGGAAAAAAAAAGTGTCAGATAAGTATATATATATCGCAGATGCTGTCCCCAGCCACTGATGAGCTGAGAGTAAAGTGTGGCCACCATACATGTAGGTAGTATTCATGTAAATTTTGATATTTTCTACAAGAAAATGTCATATGATTAAAATATCGTCCTCTTAAAGAACAAGTAAACAATGAATCACATTTACTTATCTTCATTCAAATTACAGTCACTTCAAGTTATGGTCCTTAGGGGTGGGGGTTGAGATATTAAGGGGATGTCCATCTGATTTATGAAGGGGGAGGGGGGAATTTGAAATCAATGATGTCTTCGTAAATGTTAAAAATAAATAATCCGTCTTCAACTTGCAGGAAAATTAATAATCCTTGTCTGCATGGTGATACGTGTACCCCTCCACTTCCCAACCGGAACTTAGTGCTGTAGTTTGACAGATTTCTATTTTTATGTTTTCTCTTTTAGTGCTGACCAAACTTTTCAGAATCACCAAGAAAATAAATAATCTGATTTCAACTGGCAAGAAAATAAATAATCTTTGTCTGCATGGTGATACCCCTCCACTTCCAACCCGAAACTTAGTGTTGTTGTTTGGCAGTTTTCTATCCCCCCTCCCTTTGTTTAGTGTTGACCAAACTTTTCAATGACCAAGAAAATCAATAATCTGTCCTCTATTACCTTGAAAAAATATAATTTTTCCTTGACTGGTATTAAGATAAACGACTTAACTAAAAAACAGATTGCAACCACTTTAGAATCTAATGGTCGTTCCTTTAGGGTTCTACAGTTTTCCTTATACTTGGGGGGGTGGGGGGGGCAAACCACGGCCAACGTGTACGATCCTCTCCAATTCTATGCGGACTCCGGACCATGGCTTGAGACGAAAGGGGGGTTGGGGTTGGGGGTGGCACGATATTCAACAACACAATTTATTGTAGAGTTAAGTTTCGGCATTTCATGCCCCTTGAGTTTAGGTTGTGACTGCAATCGGCGGGGATAGATGTACATGTAGGGGATGAAGAATGCCAAATATTATCATGGGATTGTATCTTTTGATGAAAAAATGAAAATGTTCTTAAAACAACTTTGCTGAAGTAAATTGGATGACCTTGTGACTATAGGCTTCCTGTGTGGTTTTCTCGGGTGTTAATTATATAATTATTTTCTCATATTTATTTCCTTCTTTCATGATTGAACTGTTGAAGGAAAGTATGTTTTTGTCAACTAGAGCATAAATTGCTCAGGTCAACATGCATATGTGGCCCATAGGCCTCTCACGTAAGTATTTCATTTGCTAAATTCATTACCAGTCTGAAAATACAAAATTCAATGATGTACTAGGGGTAAATTCTGTTTAAAAGATTTAAAAGAGATTTTTCGAAAGAAGATTTTTGAAAAAATATGTTTGGGACAGGCGCGGATCCAGGAATTTTTTCCAGGGGAGGGGGTCCACCCCAGTCAACATAAATCCATTCCCCAAACGTGAAGAACGCCTATTTCGTAGTGGTGATGGTGGGTTAAAGTTTTCTAGGGAGGGGAGGGGGTCAAAGCCAAAATGATCAAATTTTGTAAACTTTTATCAGTATTTGGGTAGGAAAAAACCTATTTCAAATCCACACCCGCTCAAAATCAAAATCAAACCTCTACCCAAATCTATGTTAAAACATCAATGTAATTATTACATAAATTTTATACATGTACAATGACAAAATTATTGCATTCTTAAGTATAGATTAAACATTTATAAATATCTTTTGTTCCAATAGCAATAAGGGAAGGGAACTCTTTACCTCTTGAAACAAAACAATCCACTACTATAGGTTCCTTCAAAAAATTGTATAAACTCTCAAAAAACACCTACTCCTGCCTTTGTTTTTCTTTTGGTGATCGTTACTGGAATGTAATTCATACTAGATTAAGACACAATTGTGTTCTGAATAAAGATTTATTTAGGTGTAACATCATTGACAGTCCATTGTGCACTTGTGGAAAAATAGAAGACGCATATCATTTCTTTTTTTCTTGTGCGAAATACACTGCCCCAAGAAACGATCTGTTTAATGCTATTTTTAGAATGATTAATTTAACGTATTGTAGACACTCACGTTCTGTTATGGGGAGATGATTCGATCATTCAGCATTTCTGAAAATGAAAGTCAATATTCATAGCATTGCATAAAATGAAAACGAACGCCACATTACTAATTTGAATAATATTGTATTGTGTACATGTAGGATTTGAGTATATTTCATTGTTTAGATGTTACAACAAAAGGATCGGACACAAGTTCTTAAAACTTAGGACGTTCTCTCGATCTTTATAACACTTAATTACACAAAGAGGGTGTTGCAGTTCTTTTGTTATTTTCCCTAAAGCTGTAGCAGTTTAAAAGAAAAAATTTAAGTAACAGAAAACGGTCTTAATTTTTTTCAGATACAACAGTATATACAGCACAATGTAGAACAATATTTGCAAAATGCATATCGACTACTAATTTGCCATTAAAAGAAGTGTAAATTAGTCACATAGCAAAATAAGTCAAGTTTTCTGTTTTTCAAATAGGGAATCCCCATTGTTCTGAAAAACTGCCTCTTTGAAACAGAATGAATTTGATATACACATAAAGAGACAGGAATTTTCTTCAAAACTGCCATTTCCGATTTTTGTTTCAAAGAGGCATATTTTTGAAAAACACAAAAATCGAAGAAAAATTATTATCCACCCGAAATGAAAAGTGTGTAAATAAAATAGCATATTATACTTCAGTGTCGGAGCTGGTCTAGTAGTAAAGCATGTGGACTCTGCGCAAAGATTCTTTTTACCTGAGAATGGGTTCGAATCCTGGAATGGCTGGTATATACATTTTTTTCTTATACACTATAATGGAAGTACAATGTAACAACTCTCTTGAGAGATAAAGACAGAGGGAGAGAATGTCAGAGAGTTAATGGGTAATATTTTAAATAAATGCAGAATTAAATTGTTTTCTTTGATATTGTGTCTAAAACTAATAAGACATACATTTAATGTTATTATTTAGTGGCAA